CAATGATTTGGTTTGTCTAGCTAATTTTTATGTCTTAAATTCCTAGCTGTTTGTTACCAATCATGCCCTGAATATTTTCATTTAGTTACCCTCTACAAAATATTTAATTTAAAATTTCATTAATTAATTACCCATCTTCCCCATTATTCAATATTGCTCTATTTTTTTTCTTAATTTTTTCTTTTGGGTTGGAATTTTATTAATTTCTGTAATTTAAAAAATTATTATTTGTAACCTTTTTTTTTTTGGTTTAAGGTTCGAGAAATAGATCCAAGAAATTACGAAGACAAATATAATATATATAGACGCAGAATTAACGAGATCGATCGAGTCGAGGCGGCGGAAATTAAAATGGCCTCTTCGTCGACATCGCCATGCGCGGCGTGCAAGTTCCTGCGGCGGAAATGCCAGCCGGAGTGCGTGTTCGCGCCGTACTTCCCTCCGGACCAGCCGCAGAAGTTCGCGAACGTCCACAAAGTGTTCGGCGCAAGCAACGTAACAAAGCTGCTGAACGAGCTGCAGCCCCACCAGAGGGAGGACGCCGTCAACTCCCTCGCCTACGAGGCGGACATGCGGCTGCGCGACCCCGTGTACGGCTGCGTCGGCGTAATCTCCCTCCTCCAGCACCAGCTCCGGCAGCTGCAGATGGATCTCACCTGCGCCAAGTCGGAGCTCTCCAAGTACCAGAACCTCGGCGGGATCTCCAGCCACGGCCTCATCGCCGCCGCCGCCGCCCACCACCAGGGTATCAACCTCCTCGGCGGTGGCGCTCGCGACCACCACCACTTCCACCACCAGCTCTTCCCCGTCAACCACCAGAACCACCAGGTGATCAGGGCCGCCTTCGACGGCGGGAATGGGTACGACGCCGCCGGAAGCCTCCTTGCTATGAATATGTCCGCCAGTATTGGGCAGCTGAGTGGGTTTCAGCAGACCAGGGCGGCGGGTGCGGCGGCGGATGGTCGCCGGACGCCGGTTGAACCCTCTTAGGGTGATTTATGTTATCACCGGTAAGTGAGTAAAAGCCAAGAACGGGATTATATAGGTAAAAGTAAAAAAGTAAAAAAAAAAAAAAAAACTTTGTTCTATTTAATTGTTGTTGTTATTCGTTATTTTAATTTTCTTGTTTTTTTAGTGTTTAATTATAACATTATATATTTGTGATATCTCTATTCGTTTTAATTTAATTTAATTTTCTAATTAGTCAATCTAATGAAAAATATAATTCGGGATTATTAATATCTATATATATTAATTAATATTTTTTTAATAGATTGATTTATATTTTTTCTAGTAGATCCATAATTAAATATGTACATAAAAAATATGATACAAACTTATTACATAAGCTAGTGCCTAGTAGTTTATATATAAGCCAGTTCAACGAACGATAAGCGGTTTTCAGGTTTCGGTTTCAATCCAGTTTCGGTTTTGGTTTCGTCCATGTAAAGAACGAAAATAGCTTGTTCAATCAAAATTTATTAAGTAGAAATGAAAATTGGTAGTTTTACTTTTTTTTAATAGAAGATATTTTTGTTTTTGTTTAGTTATTTTATTTTACACATTTTAATAACCTAAGTTTCTTCGCTAATATGATATTAAATTATTAGGTTATAGTGGAGCTGAGCCAACTAACGAACCGACTCGATAAAAACTCGAACTCGAATTTTTCGAGCTTGAGCTCGAACTTTTCCAACGAGTTGATCCCGAGCTCATTCTTAGTTGTCCGTAAGCTCGTGAGCTTCTTGTTAATTGTTATTTTAAATATAATAATTAGTATAAAATAAAAAATAAATTCATAAAGTAATTAAAAAAATAAAAAATTGGAGGTCATTTTTTATTTCAAATTTATTATAGTTTATAATAATATGATAAAATTCTAACAATACTAATAAATAAATAAACAAAAACACAAAATGGCTCGAACTCGAACTCAAACTCGAACCAAAAAACAAATAAGAGCTCGAATTCGCCAAAACAAGGAACAAACCGAATGTGTTGCCCATTAATTTATTCATTTAATTAATTTAACCTACTCTTGAATAATATTACAATTATAATTTATATGTATATTTTTCTTTAATTTTTTCAATTTCCACCAATTAATTAAGTATAATATATTAATTTAAAAAAACATATATAATTAGGAAAAACAAAATACAAATGCATGGACAATGATGACGTACCTGTGTAATGATGCACAAGCTTTTAATGCATTCGCCAGTGGGTCTCTCTCTCTCTCTCTCTCTCTCTCTCTCTCTCTCTCCTCTCTCTCTCTACTATGCATGTACATCAGAGGGTATTACTGCTCACGCCATTGTTTCCCATCTCTCTCTCTCCTCTGTGGCGCTACT